GATCACCTCGTCGAGGATGTCCATTGAGCGGACGTCCGCGGGGAGGGGGCAATCCCGGGCGAGATGGTTTGGGTCGCCGCACCTGAAGCAGGCGCGACGAGGGGCACCCCGAGCCCTAGTGCGATCCAACTCCATGGGGACGGGAGCTGGAGGCGCCGGAGCGGGGGGCGCGGGCCGCGGGTGGCACGACCGGAGCCACCGGGCGGAAAGGGGCCGGAGCCGGGATGCGGTTGACCGGAAACGGAGTCCGAATCAAACCGCCAGGCGTCTTGGGGGGCGGCTGACTTGATCAGCTTGGCCCGGACCAGGGCCTCGTATTGACGGAAGGCCCGGGTGCGCCAGCTAAGGTAGTCCCGGAGGTCCGGGGGTCGTTCGAGGACGTGATTCCGTTGTTGATCAAGGGGTCAAGTCCGTGGCGGAACTTGGTCACCTTGACCAACGCGTCTTCGAATCCGGCGAGGTCCATCAGGTCCTCGAAGTCGTCGGTGTACTGGTAGACATCCTTTGTGCCCATGTGATAGGCGGAAGTCTCCAGTTTGGAGAGAGCATGATCTTGCTCGTTCTCCTCGACGAACCGGAGTCGAAACTCGGAAACGAACGAGCCCCAGGACGGAAACGGAAACGGGGCTTTGCTTCCGTGGCGCTCCGCCCATTGCTGAGCGGGTCCTTCTGCCATAAACGACATGGCATAGCGGACGGCCTTTTCCTCACTCGCCTCTCCGTTGACCACAAAGGCCTCAGGGGCAAGGCGGGCGTAGGTGCGGACCGCGTAAAGGAACGCGCGGCCGCGTTTCCGATCGCCGTTGAAGGTGAACGGAGGGTTTGGTCGCAAGACCAATTTTGAGGCGAGGTTGATCACCTCTCGCAGCTAGTGCAATGTGCAGCATCTGGGTTATAGCCCAAAAGTGCAATGCACAACATGTGGGCTATTCTTATATCTTGATATATTATATTAAGGGAAGATGATATGACTAATATAAGGTCATATATAAGAAGGTAAATCACCTTTTCTTCAGGCCGATGATTCGATATGTAATATTATGGACTTAATAGAGCAGAAAGAGAATATCAATATTAAATTAAGTGGGAGTGATGCAAGATCACACAGTCATCAAAATCAGTGATCTCTTACAAAAATGGTTCCACACACAATAGATTACACAAGGAACATTGATCCCATCACTATATATATGATATAAGACACCAAAACAGTTAAAAGAGATAAAAATGAAATAAAATAATTCTTGTGTTGCAGGAGACTGGGTTAGATCCCATATGTTGTGCATTGCACTTTTGGGTTATAACCAAGATGTTGCGCATTGCACCAGGTGTTCCAGCTGGGTTGATGTCGCCAAAGAGGGCTTCGGAATCGCCCTGAACCGGAGTCGGAGTCGGAATCGACGTCTCCGGGGGTGGTGTTGTTTGGTATCCGCCAGCAGTATTAGCGGCGGCAGCGGCAGCGGAAGCCTGGGTGGTGAGAAGAGTAAGGGCCTCAGTTAGGCGGTCGATTTTCGCCTCGAGTGCATCCAGCCGAGTGTCAGCGTCAGGAGTAGCTCCGGAAGGCATGACAGGTGCGGGGACGACAGGAGTGACAGAGGAGGAGGGGACAAGTGGTAGGGGCGGTGACGAGGGCGGAACGGACTCGTATTCCGAGCCTGAGTCAGCGCCGAACCTAGCAATCTTGTCCGGTTGATCCCGTAGAGAGTTTCTTCTGCTGTAAGGGCAACCCCGGAGGCCTGAGATCAAGGTCCTAGCAGGGGAGGATCCAAAGAGTGAATAGAAGTAAGCAAATACAAGTGAGGCTGACCTAGCAGGGGAGGATCCAAAGAGAAGAAACTCTAAGGGTCCGCCTGCTAGGTAGCGGAACTATATACTGCGCTCTTGACGCGCCAAGGTTGATCGTTGCTCCGTGCAGTATGCCTGCAGGGGGATCGCCAGGCGGGGGGCGGCGATGCGCCTGACGGAGGCGGTGATGCGATCACCGGAGTCGGAACCGGAGTCGGACCGGAATCGGGATCGTCTCCGAGGGGCCGAAAGGGAGGTTCCCCTGACATGCCCTTACAATTGGGAAATTCTTGGCACCTCTTATATCTATACCACTTCAGGTCAATCCATCAGAATCCATCTCCATCTCTGGTATTCAGCTCAGATATTTGTGTTTCACATAAGAATGATACGAAGTGTTTTCCTCATGCTGAGTCATGATCTATGCCATCATCTTAGTGGCATCTGGTGGCAGAAATGGAGGTTATTTGCTTTTAAGTGTACAAAACGGCCACTGGCTATTACCAAACTCTCGCTTGGGAGATCAGCAGATATTTCACATGTGCGGGTCTGCATGTGGACTCGGAGGCAGGCAGATGAAAACAAAAAGTTGTTCTTTGGCTATACATGCTGTACGGGGAATCGAACCCCCAACCCATGTTACCATTCCCGCACAATGCCCGCACCTCCTAGAGATGCAGCCAGTGCCATTTGGCAAAGGTGGGCCGTGGCATGCTGATCACCGCCGCGTCCGCGGTGCAAGGTCCGGAGCAATGTTTAGAGACGACAGGCAGCGTCCTAGGGCATGCATTGGAGTAGAAGTCGAGCAGCTCCACAAGCAAGCGCGCGCCACGGAGAGAGACGCCTTCACCAAGGTAGCCATGGAGTGTCACTGGGTAGTCGCGCGCCACTATGCCCTGGAACGCGTGCAACCTTGTTGCCCAGGAGGCTGCTTGGAACTGTGGGTCGAGCCAGACATCAATTCTACTAGATGGCTGTTAACAGGTGCAACGGGCGAGCGAACGGGACACAGCCCGCGTGCGCGCAAATATCACCCCGACGTCCGCGCACCCGCTTCCCTAACCGTAGAGGCTTGTTGAGCATGTCGTCCGCTGCAGAAAACAACTTCAAGTTGACCATAAGTCACGCGAAAAGAGACAAACACACGCACTCACAGTGACGTCGCTCACCCTCGCCCGACTCATCAGCGTAGCGCCGCCGCCATCGTCACTGGGACCGCCAGCAACGACATCAAGAATGCTTCAATCGTTGCGCACTGGCAAGGCTTAGAGGCAAGCAGAAGTGGAACAAAACGCAAGGGCAACAGGGCAATGAGTCTTGAAGGAGAAAATGCTTTCCCTTCTGCTGCGCCGTTTAAGTAGACGCCTGTTGACGTGTTTCGTGTGGTCCGCAGATCAGTCTGAGACTTTACGCTGCCGCGAGATGTTTTTGGGGGGGAACGAAGTGCTGGAGATCGGCCTCAGGTCGCCCCGTGTCTTGCCACTTGGTTCAAGTTTGTTGTTCGCATGGCCTCAGAAACTGGAATGGCCCATGGCCCAAAGCTGGAGTGCGCAAAGTTTGTGTTTGCTGAGATGTCCAGGTGGGGCCGGGAACTGGAAGGTTGAAAGGCCGCAAGAGATTCAAGTCTACGTCTCATCAGCATCTTATGGGTGCTATGGAGGAGGAGGGGGATTCCAAACACACGCGTACACGTCGTGGAACGCGCGCGAAATAGCCCTCTCTCTCCCGCGCCAAGTCCAGCCATCAGAATACTCCGAGTCGTCATTGTCAAAAGTAAGCGTAAATGAACGCGCTGCGTCATAGCGCGTGACTCTGCTCCACTCACTTCCTACCACCAAATGCCCCCCAAGACTACGCGTCGACAGTATGACTCCCCGAGGAAGAATCGTTTCATTGGCGCGGTGCAGACACATCACAATGTCAGCCGTGCGGCTCGCGATCACGACATTCCGATCTCATCAGCTCACACGATCTGGAAAAAGTTCCAGGAGATTGGTACGACCAAAAATTGACATCGAAGTGGTCGTCAGAGCCTCTTCTCAGCCCCAGAGAAGGCTCTCATCCAAGATTACGCTGTTGAGCATCGCCGCGAGCCATTCCGTGACATCGGCAACTCCCTGACACCAAAAGCCAGCGAGCCAACGGTCCGGCGCATTCTGGCCGAGGAGGGCTATCATAGGCGTGTGGCGAAGAAGGTCCCATACCGATCCGACAAAACAAAGGCAAAACGGCTTGCCTGGGCCAAGGGAGAAGCCCAGGAATTGACCGAGGATGATTGGTCAAATATTGCTTGGTCCGACGAGGCTTACATCTGCCTGGATGACAAGAAAGGACGGATCTGGGTGACGCGGCGACCGGGGGAGGAGCTACTCGATGAGTGCTGTGTCCCACATGTGCCACAGAGCCCAGTCCGCATCATGGTGTGGGGAATTGTGATGAAGAACGCCGAAAGGCCCGCTCGTGGTTCTTGAGTACCCCGGTGGCCGAGGCGGCGGAATGACAGCACAGCGCTACATTACGCAGGTGCTCGAGGGTCCATTCCTCAAGTTCTACCACCGTATGAAGCTAACTCGACCTCTCTTCCGCTTCCAGCAAGACGGCGCTCCATCCCATGGCGCCATCATCACCAAGAAATGGCTTGCTGATCGAGACATCCCAATTTTCCCCCATCCACCGACATCTCCTGATGTATCGCCTATCGAGCCTGTTTGGCACATCCTCAAGAAGCATCTCCAAGAGTATCAGCCACGTCCATACAACGAGGAGACGTTACGGGCAACAGTTTTTGACATTTGGTCCAAAATCACATGTGATGAAATCAATCCATTTATCGACCGAATGCCAGATGTCGTGTCTGCTGTAATTGCCGCAAAGGGTGGCCATACTCGCTACTGAACACGTCCATACCATTTGTACCATACTATCTTTCTTGTACGCTGAGTAAAACATTGATTTACGCTTACTTTTGACAATGACGAGTATCACGAAAAGAAACGACACGCACCTCCGTCTGGTGACTCTATTCGGTGGTCGTGCGGACATCGTTTCATCCAGGGCATCTCGATGCTGGTTAGTGGTGATGGTGGTGGTCAAAAGGCAAGTGCCACGCGTCCCGATTAAACCTTACGGCATCAAAGTCCTATCACGTCATTTTTTTTTCTTTGGGGCCGCTGACACATTCATGCTGACATACCTCTCCTTCTTCCCCGACACCCATGTCTTCGCCCGCCCCAGCACAGACGCGCCCACTGCCACCGCCGCTTCCACTGCACCCCTTTGCGCACAGCAGCGCCCGCATCGAGGTGCTCCCCGCGGGCATCGACATCGAAGAGGAGGCCCGGCTGTACGAGGACATCGTCTTTGTTCGTTCTCCCGCTGTTCCGCTGCGACTGCTGAATTCTCGCTAGGACGAGTCCCCGATCACACCGCGCCACCCGTCGCCCGGCCCGCCGAGCATATTCAGCAACGACATCTGGCTGGGGGACAATATTGGGGAGAGCGCGGCGTTTGCGCGGGCCGTGGAGATCGGCGGGTGGACAAGCGTGGGCGACGTCCGCGGCGGGGCGTATGTCGGTGCGTAGTATGGCTTACTCCATTATTAACTGAGTGCAAGATGGACAGTGTACGACTGTGTGATCAAGACGAAGGAGGGGCTCGCCATCCATGCGCACAAGCGCTACAGCGACTTTGTCAAGCTGGAGCACGAGCTGCTGAGGACATTGCCGGTGCGTCATAGCCTATCTCACTCCCGCTCACGCTTATCGTATTCCGACAGCCCCCGCTCCGGCGCTCCGTCCCGTCCCTCCCCCCGAAGTCCCCGCTCGCGCGCTACCGCGCCGCCTTCCTCGCCAACCGCCGCCGCGCGCTGGAGTACTGGCTCGCGACGATCCTGCTGCACCCAGAGATCGGCGGCTGCGAACCCGCGCGACGCTGGGTCACATCGTAGTGCTTTTTCTCGTTTGACGTGGCAAAAGTGCTGCTTGATGCATCACATGGCTATAGACCTTCCTATGTATCCCTGCTCCTCGACTGTATCGCTAATGCATATACGTGCTGTCCCGCCAGCCCGTTGGCGCCAACGTCGTTCGTTCCGCGCCGCGGCCCGCAGACCGTTCGGAGCGGGGTCGAGTTGCCCTCTAACTCTATAACAAATTTCTTGAATTCAGCTCACAAATTTTTATGCGACCCGCCGCCCGCTAGTTCTTCACATGCCATGCCTATGCCTATCCAATACCAGCGTGCTGCGCCGCGCAATCGGCGGCCTCAGTATTGAAGGCGACCACCGCAGCGGGAATCCACCAAGCTCGGTGGCAGCGGCGCTGTTAGCGTCCCTGCGTGGCCTGTCGTTGAGCGACGCAGAAATCAGTCGGGCCTCGCCGTTCGATGCGGCGTCGAGCACTTGAGAAGTGGCACGAGCTTTGTGTTCTGTTTTTCTCCATGCGAATGTTTTGTTTGACGCGTGCACTGGTCGCAAAAATGGAACTAGAACTGGAACAAGTCGTGCGGGCCTTGTCCCTGCCAGTCTGCCATCACAGTCCTGTCTGGAGCCGCCTCCGACTTGACTGCGCGCTCTCACTGGCCTCATCATTCCCCGGTTCGCTCGACGCCGATACAGCCGAAACACAGCCCTCGGTATTGCCCTCACCGGCTTGAGGAGGGAGTGCAGCCGTTTGCTGTGCCAGGGTATAGCGAAGTCTTCCAGTGACAGCTCAAGGGGGGCGCAAGATGCCTATCACGGCTATGGGGCAGGGGGGGGTCCAGAGCCTAGAAAAAAAACTTTTGTGTTTGGTGTAGGGATGCTTCAAGAGGTACTTAGGAGGCCTTAGGAGGCCTTTCATATGTAGATCTTCCATGTTAAATGCCATTTGATACCTTTGAATGCAGTGAAACCCAGTTTTTTTGGTGAAGTGACTAAACTTGTCACAGTCTTTGATAGCATCAACATATCATCATGATGCAAGAAGCAATACAACTTTATATGAAAGTTCATTTAAAGGCATAGGAACATTATAATAGCCTAGTTACAATTTAATTTAATCACATTTTCCATTTTCAAGACCTCTATCGATCATTTTGATGCGATTTTGATCGCATCAGTCACGTTTTCGTGGGAGATCATTACTATATAAGGCAGGAGGGGGAGGGGGGGGGTCCAGTGGGCGCAAAAAAAAACTTTCAGCCCTATGTATGTAATTTCCACCTTGCGCCCCCCTTGTGACAGCTCCAACTTTTTCGAATGCATCATCACTAGGTACCAGTGCATCTTGATGGCCCCTCAGCTCTCTCTCTACATGCGCAGCATTATGACTCGGATATTGCACATAACTACTTAATCTTGTTGGATCACGGCGCGCACGGACCATGTGGATCGATCATCCCACGTGCCTGCGACAGACTCATTCCGACCACGTGGGGCTGACAAATGCTTTGCCTCTTGTCTCTAACGTAAGGCTCCAACACTTTCCGTTTGACAAACTTTATAAACGGTTTTAACCCTTTTTATTTCCGTTTTATTTGTGGGGTTGAGCAAATGGTAAATAAAAGAAAACAAAAGGTTTAAACGGTTACTCAATATTAAATAATAATCATAATAATATGATTAGAAAATATCCAATGTATATGTATAGATATCCTGTGTTTCCTCTTGAATTGTCCCATTTGCTAGTTGTATGCAATAAGTACATACATTAGACTATAACAAAAGTTAATGACTTAGTCATTAGCAATTTACCTGCTCTCTGAATTCAAGAAACTATTCTTAGTTTCAGTAATGATTCACCTGAATATGGTTTCTGGAATAGAGATATCAATGGCACTAGTCAGCATGTCTGACTTAATACTGATGATTGTCTGTTATAAGGAATTTCACAGTGATTTCATGTCTCTAGACCACAGAAATACTATCCTAGAATAATTTATCATCCTGCAGCCATAACAACATAATAATTATATCATATTTCCGTCATTTTCTACATATAAGGAAGACAAAAATATATTAATGATTTTTAAACTGTATTAAAACTATTTAAAATGTTTTAAAACGTTTGTTGAACCCTTTCTGTTTGATTTGTCTCAACCCACAAACGGAAACAAAAAGGTTGGAGCCCTACTCTAACGTCCACCATGGACATTCTTCGGTCCCCGACTGCCATGCATCCGCCGGACGCCATGGCCGTCGAACTCTGGCAACACAGCATCTCTTTCCTCGACCGCGCGGACCTGCGCAGTCTTGCCCTCGTATGCCATGCGTTCCGCAACCTCACCCTTCCCGCCTTGTTCCGCGATCTGCTGGCCATCCTTCGTTGGGATCCCGCTGATCTCGAGTGCGATCCCCCGCTTGTAGCTTCCGCCTTTCTTGATCGCGTCATCCACATAACGGAGCACCCCACTCTTGCGCCGTTAGTGCGTACATTTGTCTTAGAACGGCCGCCTTCTCCCCCTTGAACAGGTCTCGTTCACGGCAAACTCAGTGGCTCTTCTGGACATGTGGTCCTCTGATTCGACGCTGCGCCTCATCGACCCTGCAACGATCGAGCAGCTTAGCCTCCGGGCACCATTTACGCTCGCGCCGCTGTTGCGCGGCTTATGTCAAAGCCCGATGCCGGTATTGCGCTACCTGTACCTCGAGCTGTCGAGCGAGATGTACATGGAACTAGTCGTCGATGTGCTTGCGCAATGCATATCTCTCACCGAGCTCGCGCTGTACTGCCCCGAACGCCGTGACCTCCACCCATTGGCCCCGTTGGAGCCTGCCGGAGCTGAGATGACACGATTGATCCAACTCCTTCGGCTCCCCCCGACGGCCCTCCCGAGCCTGCACACCCTCACCACGCCCCCCGGCCTCGTCCCGCTTTTCCTTGACGGCAGGCTCGGCATCACCACGCTCAATCTCGTGAACAGCTACGCCGAAGACTATAGACAGCCGCCACACGCAGCTATCAACGCCGCCGCGGGGAGGTGCCACACCCTGCGCCTTCTGATGCCCCTCCGTATCGATGCGAAACCAGGCGGCATCGTAGACGTCCTCGAGACCGTCGCGGCGGCGCATCCCGGCCTCCGCCGCCTGTGGTTCTTCGTCATCGACATAGAGGTCGACGCCTCCACCAGACCGCTGTCTGTACTCGTCCGCGATCACATGGTGCGCGTGCCACCCGCGCTCGAGTTCCTCCGCGTGGGCGTCAACGCCGCGGATAGCGGCGCGCAGCTTCTGGATGAGCTCAAGTTGCCCGAAACCTGCCGCAGAATCGTCCGCATGCTGGCGGGAACGCAGGACACGGCTCGCTCGCTGCACTGACCAGCGCGCCTGCGGCCCGGGCAGGGGCTGCACCACACGACGTCCGCCTCCCGCTAAGAGCCTGAGACGCGCCGGTCCCCTCCCGCAAACGGCTCGGCGACAAGCCGGGCCCGGGCTGCCACCAAACCAACGCCGAATCCTGCCGAATCTGTCTACCATCGCTAACTACTACTTCTTGCCGAGACCCCCCGAAGAACTCTCATCGCCAAGACCGCCCTCGCAGCCGTTCGAATCGCGCTTGTGAAGCACAGCGCAACGCTGCGATGATCAACGAGACACGCACCAAGCATCCGGCTAAGGACAAGACATGAGAGAAAGACCTGAAAGTGACGGTTAGCACACGGCTAGAGAGAGAGACGGCAGGGGAGAGAGAAGCGCTAGCGCAGAATGGTATGATTACTAGTACCTTCGCCTTGCTCTGACAACAAGTCAGCGCCGCGCAGCTCGTCACGAGCAGAACACGCACCTTTACCATTTGCCGACCTGGCAGCGTGTCAACAACGATGACAAGGTATGGCTGCGCGAATGCAATCCGAGTCCCTGACTCTTGCTCTACGACTGGGATTGAATTCAAAGTCAGCAAGGCAATCAAGCGGAGACATACGGAACGACGCTTTGCGTGACCGAGGAGTGGATAGACGTTGGTGGGGCTGCAAGACGGTGAGCCTTGTAATGGACCATAGCAAAAACATAACAAAAGAAACAGCCTCGCCGTTCAACGGAAGTTCGCGAGCGTTCGAAGGCGGACGACAGGTCGGAGCATACCTCCAGCATAAACAATGACGGGGACCAACGAAGGAGGGGAAGGCGACGCTAAGCAGACGAGCGCCGTCGAATCACAGCCGGTGAGCAACAACAAGTAAATGCAGCGGCGCAGACTCACAATTGGCAACGGCGGACACATCTAGAAAGAATGGTAAGCACATCATGTCGTCAATGTCCGAGGCTAACCACGCACCTCCAGCGTTGCCGAACAACGGTAAGCAAACGAGCAAAGACAACGAAGGTGATGACTCACCTTTGGTTAACAAGCACCATGTTCTCGAACAGAGCGGGCGGAGGCGGGCAACGGAGGAGCGGAAGGCGATGCTGAGCGGAGGACGACGGACTCTGTTGGGAACGACAGCCGGTGAGCAACAATACATCCAGCAGCGCAGGCTAACCATTGGCATCGGCGGACAGGTCTACCAAGAACAGTAAGCACGCGCCGTCGTCAATGTCTGACCACGCACCTCCCTTCAGCCTCGATGTCGACGACACCACTCTGGTCCTCTAGCAACATGGTAAGCAGACGACTAAAAACAACGATGGTGACGACTCACCATCGGCAACAACCTGCAGCCTCTTGAAAAGAGCGGGCGGAGGCAGGCAGTGGCCTCCACTACCGTGCGAGCACGGAGACATCTGCTTCTCGGCCGCAGCGGGCAGCGACAGCGAGGGCAGCATGTCGGAGTCAGGAAGAAGGAGCGTGGGACAACATTAGGCGCTCGGGTGCGAAGAGCCGAGCACGTGCCAAAAGTCAACCACCACGCAAAACCCTTCTCCCCGCTGCTCCCCCGCTGGCCAATCCCGATCCCGCTGCGCTGAGCGACAAGAGTAAAAACAACGATGGTGACGACTCACCATCGGCAACAACCTGCAGCCTCTTGAAA